ATAAATCCATGACATAAATAAAACTACATTATCACTATGGATTTAAATAGTAATTGCGAGGATAACAATAAAATCATAATAATATTATGTTCATGTCAACATGATTAGGGTTTGTAGTGAAAGTAAACTACAGAGCTAAACCGATAAGATCTGACAGATCAAATCTTAGATTGTTCATTGATATTCAAAAGTCATTGACGAATAACTTGGAAATTATCATGAGCTATGTAAGAAATCGGTGGCTACTTTGATGATAAGAAAAATAATGGTCATAACAAGAACAAGTAACAGAAAAAAAGTTGACCAACTGTTAAAATGACGAAATATTCATTAGCATTCCAGAGAAAAAATAGATTTAAAGTTCAGATGGTATATCAATAGGGGTTTATGGATTTTTCGGAGTAACTTGAAAGTCTTCGAAATTTAAATGCAGACAACTATTTGCATAAGTACTGATTAATATAAGTCCAAAGAATTCTGTTGCTCTAGTCCTAACGTCAGGACTTGATTCTTTTTTATAAGGAATAATTGTCATATCAGACAGAATTTGTGGGAGGTTGAGTTGTCAGAAGTATCCTACGGGAAAGTAATGCCTGTTTTATGATATAATTATTACATTCTTAGATCGTATATCAATACTTTCCTGTTTCTAGACTGTTTAAACGATATTTAACAATTCGATCGCACAGGCTCTAATAAAACGTAAGCACTCGTTTATTTCACGTTTATATCAATAATTCAACGTGTAAAGAATCATTAATCACGTTCATACTGTTTATTCGTTCTAATTTTATTACAAATTGTTCTATAACTAAACTCTGGTTTTTGATCAGCTGATAAGTCGCTCAAGGTCGCCTGTATAGTTTACTTCTATCTATTTATTTAGTAACACGGTATTTGTCAGGTAACAAAAATCAGAAAAATACTTGAACATATTCTGAATATGGTATAGCAAATAAGTAATGAGTATAGTAAAACGAACATCAACTTTCAAGATTTTTCAGTATGATAAGGAATGTAATATTAGTTCGTTTCCTATGTTATTTATACTGCTAAACCACTATCAAGAGGATAACATAAATGAGAAAGATTTGGATCTTACTCTTTGTTATACTAGCACAAAATTGTTTTCTTAGTCACACAAGGACAATCAACGAAATACATCATGAAAAATTAGCCAAAATATTTTTAAACTTAGTTGCTTTATGAAATTTTTCTACTATTACACAATTATTTTAGTCACTGAATCATAAAAATAACTAACGTAACTCAACCCAACTTGGCTTTCATTATTATATTTCACATCAAACATCATTTGGGATTGACTGTTAATTTGGTTAAGTATTTTATCACCAAGACAGAAATTAGCCTACGTGAAATTATTTACCAGTGATCAGTAGTCATTTGTTGATAATGTATTTTGATCCAGTTAAAACATAAGATGGAATCTTAACATAATTGTTTATTATGACTTAGCGTATATATTCATTGAATTCTGAAATTATGAGGAAGAATACTTTCTTATCACTTTGTATGTTGATATTTGTAGTATAATAGTGAATTGTAATTCGATATATCAAGTTAAATGTTAAGCCTAAATGTGATCTGGTAGCACAATTTCGTGTTTAATCATAATTATGACTATGAAATAAAAAACCATGCAGTGATGACACTGTATTTAACTTACCCTAGTTTCAATGCTTACTGATTTAAATCTCACTATATTTATTTCATTTCGAACAATAATTTAATATTACCACGTTGCCTGACAGATGCATGGTTCAAATCCGGCCGCACAAATTTGTACTTAGTTACAGATTTACATAATAATTAAATAATAAACTAAGGACAGTTAAAGTGATTGTTTAACTAATTGCTATTTAAATCTTCCAGTGTCTCACATTTCTTTCTTCACAGATATACTCAAAAATCAATCTTCGAATCTTGCAGGGGGCGAGGTCGTGGATGCGCACTGCTGAAGAGTCCCACAATAGGACGAAACAGCCGTCCAGTGCTTCCAGGTTTTCCATGGTGATCTAGCTTCAACTGACTCATGATCTTAACCATTGAAATTACTATAATATCCACAAAACCCCTTCTGAGAATAAATATGTAATGAGAAAGTATATTTTGAAAAAAGAAAGAGAATCATTTGTTTTCATCAGTATTTTATAGATTTATCTATAATTGATAGAGGGTAGTAATCATTTATTAATTGGACATTAAATATAAAAAAAAAACAAATTGTTCATAGGGTATTTTCTTTTATATATGAGCAAATCAAATAATGAATAGAAAAATTTCATAGAAATGTATAAGAAAATTAATAAATAGTAATTAAAATAATCAAACAATATGTAAAATAAACTCGATTCTTTCTATGAACTAATAAGATGCTTCTATATTATGGTTTTCTTTTATAGATGTTATCTGGAAATGAAAATAAATAAATATTAACGATTATTATATATCGAAAGAACATTCGAGAAAATAACTTTGTCTTCAAACACTATAGTTACAAATTCATAATTATAATGATAAAATGAACAATATAAGATATATGTATATAATCTATGATTGTGTTAGTTAGGTTTATATATTAGAAATACGAAATATTAAGTCAATTGCGTTTTGAACACATGAAATAAACCATTAATGAAGTTGAAAGATTAGATAAAAATTGAGAAACAATGTGTGATCCAAATTGGTGTGTTATGGTTAAATCACGTGAATCCGATTTACTAAAGAGTAAATCAGAACACATACAAACAAAGAATATTATGTTTAATTAGATCTACTCTATATTAGGATAAAGCCTAAGTGAGCAAAATAAAATATCACAGTAACTGTGACAGTCGTAATGACAGAACAATATGGATTACGAAAAAATAAATGTAGTCAGCATTCCTACTCTCTCTCTCCATATATATATAAGATATATTAGTTCAGTTTATGAAATACACTAATTAATAGAGAAGAACTGTAATGTAATCGAATTGTTTATTTTTAGAAGAAATATCATTCTTATTTATTTCAATACTGGGTTTAAGCAAACAAATAAACTTATGTTTCAGATTTGGTAAAAACCAAATAGGTTGATTCGAATAATCCATAAGTTGTGTTGATTAAGAAATTTAAATTTTCTTAATTCAGTTTACATATAAGTCAAAATCTAATTGAAGAATAAGAATTTAGATTTAATATTCGTTTTATGATTATATGAATTCTGTTTAAAGTGTAATATTTATCACTCTTATAAGAAACTGATAGAATTACCATGTATGGATGCATTCTTCCAAGTGAAAACAAGTGGTTATTGGCAGATACTCAGAAAAGAAATCATACTTACTTTTTTCTTTTTCTCTCCTTACTGTGCCAGTATCCATAACCGAAGTAGATTGTGAAACCTAGTCATGAAAGTAAAGAAGAATATACGTCTGTAATTAACTCCAGAAAAATGGTGAAATATTTGTGCTAAAAGATGTGAATGTACGTCATATGTTATCTTGTTGTGATAAATCTTTTTATTTCGAAAACGTTTTGTATAATTTGATAGCTTAAATTAGTGAGTTTATGTTATTTGATGATTTAAGCATTTTAACAGTAAAACATCATAGTAAAAATATGGATGAATCATGGAGAATGTACTATGAAATCACGATAAGTACCCTTTTTTACATTTTTGCAATCCTATATTTTTAATACACCCAATTTATTCAGTTTTCGGTTCTTTAGGACATTATGCATTCAATGACTAACATCATGATCACATGGATTATGTGATCTAAGCAGTTTTCTACGAAAAAATTGGTAAGACATCTCAAATATAAAAAACTTAACACACATTATTATATTGCATCCGTAAACTCATGTAATCTAGTGTGTCGCTGACGCTAAAATTTGATTTCGATGAAACATTCATTTAGGTTTGATAACAATTAGCTGTATTCCAGTACTAGAAAATGTGAAACCTGGTAGGAGGTATGTAATTTCATTTTATATCGATATAAACAGATGCAGAGAATTGACAAGATAAAAAGCAAAGGAAGATGAATAACACTATTAACCGTAGTGGAAGACTAAATATAAGAAAGATAATGCAAAGGTAAGTAAATTATATTAAACGCAAAGTAAGGAATGATGGTAAAAACAAAATTTAGAAGATAAGTAGTGAATGTATCTGTGGCACTGAAAATCAATTAAAATCAACCACCATAAATTACGATGATATGGTATGAGAGAAAATAAGCATCTCTCAAACACAGTTCAAGTTAACTATTTGATTTGTACAGTACTAATTAAGTGTAAAACCTCCTTGGTTTAAATTAGCTTCAGATAATCATTAGACCATTATAAGAACAGACATAATAAAATCTATTTTGACCAGTCTGATCCTATCGTGGTTATCGTAAAATGATTTTGGTCCTTTCCTATAAACTACGATTATCAGTTATTGCAAACAGTCCCACGGCCAGCTCCTGAACTTAAGTTGATATCTTAGTGTTGAACTATAATTACTATAAACCTACGGGTCTGTTAATTATGTACTTAGTTAGCATCGTCCTTTTTAAATCAACTAAGAGTTGGAAACGGGATACCAATCTTTCATTCGTATCTATCATCTTAAAGAAACTGATACTTATTGTGGGATTTGGACCCCATTCACTTTACGTCAAGATTTTCAAAACGCTTCAACAAAAATAATAAACTGATTACTTCCGACTAACTGAATATAAGACTAGTGGCTACTACTTTCTACTAGAAGCAATAAATGACATGCCATGATTCTAACTTATTTCAATGGCCATATGTTAATTCTTACTGTCGATTGGACTGATTTCACACTTTCCAGAACTTATTTAAAATCTTGAGTTGTTTCATACAAAAAATATTATTTGTGTGAATGTCCTTATAAGAATCGATAATTTCCCCAAGTTTAACAAGACAATTATCGATCGAAGTTAGACATTAACACCGTCGAATTTCGGCTCAGTGTTCCCGAGGTTAAGCGTTCGTTCGCGAGACTGAAGATCTTGGGTTCAAGTCCCGCATACGAGATCGTGGATGCACACTGCAGAAGGGTTCCATACTAGAAAAAGACGGTCGTTCAATGCTTCGAGGTTTTCAGTAGTGGTTTTGCTTAGATCGACTCATGAATTCAACGATTAAAAGTCATAATTTTGTTTGTAAGAAGGGAACGTATTCTGATATTCAAAATAAAAGTTTATCTCAAAATCATATGTATTCACTGAATCTATAAGCATAATGTATGTAAACAATGAAGTAAATAAAGTATGCTTACTCCTCTCAAATCTAAAGAATTTTCCCTCCCTCAGTAATCTCTTCATACTCGTGTGAATGAAAATATCAATACATTAGTAACCAGATGTTTGCTATCTTAAGAATATGATAATAGAAAAACATTCTAAATATATATCTTTACAATATATCAGTAGGTTCAAGTGTTCAAAGATAGGTAAATTTATTAATCATTTATCAAATGATATGAGACGTATATACCATTATATCTATTTCGTTTGTGAATACACTTTCTTAGCCAAGACAAGCATTCTTCAGATAACAGTGAAATCAAGGTAGCTATAAGTAGTCGACATTTTTGTCCCAGCTTAAAGGTTTACTTTAGTAAACATACATCGTTTACACTCATTTCTAATGAAACATTTTTACATTATGCAACAAATGGAATAATATTAACGATAAATGAGCTAACTCGTTCGAATGTATTATCTGGTTGTTTTTGAGCTCAAATAGCTATTGATATTGGTGCATAGCTATTATTGATTAATTTCCTATTCCATTTGTCTAGATTTTAAATGAAAACTAACCAAATCCATAAAGATTGGTTAAGCAGGCTAACTAAAGTGGTAAGCAAAGCAAGAAACTGGTTTAGAAACAACTCAAAACAAAGGAATCTTTGAATAATTTGGTAGTTAGAAGTTAAGTCAACACAAGTATTAATTAAAAGTAGAAATTCATCAATTAGGGATTTGATTATAACCAACAGCTCATTTTCTATATAAAAGTGTGTAAACCAGTTTCTTATTTTCTGAACAACGTGCATGGAACAGTTCTTGATGTTACACCAACTCATGGTTATTTTACTTTTTACTGAAGTATTTGCTTTAGGTAGGATTACTAAAAAATTAACCAGACTTTTGATAGATTCTGAATAATTTATTGAAAAAGTCCAGTCATCAATGCGATGTGTAACCAATCAGTCTTTCAAATATTACATGTTCGTCTCCCATGAAGAAGTGTTCTTTAGCCAGCAAAATCTGAATAAACACATCTATTGTCATTATTCTTATGAATTATTTAAGGAGATATTTACATTAGAAAGAAAATTAGTTGACATGTAGTCCTGAAAAAAAGTACTCACATGTCTCATCACGTATTACTGTCAAGTCTATCTATATTTTGAGATGTTTGGTCACAGATACTTGCTATTTAAGGTTTTGTGAAAGTTATTTGTGGCTTCCAGTATACAAAGAAAAAATAAGCATGATCCCGAATGACAAATATAGACATAAATGTGGTAAAATAAGAATTCTGACATTTTTTAAGGTTTTAACCATATTAAAAGGAAATATTTGTTTGTTATTTATTAGTTTTTGGTTGGTCGGTGAAAATAAACATCTTATCACTTGAATAAAAGGGTTAAATATTGTGATATATCATGAAATTTTTCATATGGACATGATCGTAAGCTATTAGATCAAATAATTTCCTTATTTAAACAAATCGACAAATATTCTTACCAATAATCATCCAGACTAAGAATCTAATCCATGTAGCCCCTGACAATTTAACCATTAAATATACGTTGATAAATATACTAATAGCTGGAATCCATGGAACCCCAGGGACCTGTAAAAAAAGGATGTTGTTTGAAGTAATAGCCTCAGTAAACCATTATTATTGGGGAACGTTTTTGTTTTATGGGTGTTCCTAACTTTTTACAGCACTTGTCTCAAGTATTCTTATTAGACTCACACATTATTCTTACTCAGATTCATCACAAATATGTTGCAACAAGTTATTTCTGCAGTAAGATTTTACTAATCAAACAGCTGATTTTAATTTAACAGTGACGTCAATGAATAACGGTGTTATCATCAGTACTAAATAAATATAATATGAAGATCAGGCAAATCACCTTAGAGTGTTTCATAGTCTGTAAATATCCCCATATAATATGGAGCATTGCGTTTACATATACTTGTATGGATGAGGTATAAAGGCTATAACGTTAGAAGTATAGTAAGAATGAACATCTAATTGTCAAAACTAGTTTTTCGATTGAGATGAAAGAAAATATTTGCATAATACCTGCATATATTAGTGACGAAATATCTAAATAAAAATAATTAAAATACATTGCCCAGTTGTTCCTTAAACTTTGAAAGTAGGTACAAGAAGCAACAAGTTTTCTAACTAGCTGTTCTCAACAAACATATTCTAAAGCACTTGTACTAAATAAAGCTTAACAATAAAGAAAACTTTATACACGAGGATATAATACGTACTTTGAATGCCACAGGTGTTTTATTTTCTGGTTGTCTGGCTAATGCTGAACAAATGATAATACTGATCAGGATCATTAATCCAACAAACGTCCATATTGGGATTGTGACTATCATAGTTTTTGTCACTTCTTCAGGTAGTTTATCTAACAGTAATATACCCAGATTGCCGAGAAAAATGAAGCAAACTAGAAAGTATGCGTTGAATACGTCGAAACAAAACAAAATAATAGATTTACATTATAAAGTGATGTGGTTCATGATTGTTTTTAAAGATTAGGTAAATTTTTGTTAATGATGGTGGTGCAGCCAAAATTGTACACTATGCCAAATCAGCTAGTAAGTTTGATTTCCAAATAGATTGTACAATTATTTCAGAAAACGACTTAGGATTCCCTAGCATTGAATTATCATTGACCTGATGGACTAGCACTTTTAAGAACCACTACATATTTTAGAAGCTATGAAAACTAATTAATTATACTCTAAATTTTAAATATCTTATATTTTAGGTTTACTGTTTGTAAAAAGTATATTTTCACACTAATTTAGAAAGAAGTAAGAACTGACGTCAAATAAAATATTAGCTAGGCTCTTTGAAAATACAGAGTAAAAAAGTATGAATGGACGAAGTTATTTTTTAATTTATTATCTCTTTGAGTTAACTAAATTTACATTAAGAATAATTCTGAAATTAGATTCCGGAGGATTCATGTAGTCAGAGTTCAAGAACTGAGTTGCTAGTATATACATAATTTATTTTCATGAGACCGATAATGCATTGTTAAGATATATGTTTGAAAGTAGCGCGCAATGTACGGTCATTATAACTTACTCCCAACAGCAAGCAAACTGTAAGATACACAATTATAAAAATGAATGTAAAACTTAAATTAATGATTTCATCGGGGATAAAAATTTTTTTTCTCTGAATCCTCTTTGAGTTTAATCAAAAGTATCAGTTCATCTTTAACGCATCTAGGTTCCGTATCGAGATAACTCAATGTCCCACAAAAATACCATTTCTCACGAACCTTCTTCAGTATCGCTGCTTTAAACTCATTATTCATGAGCAAATTTTTATTTGCCACCTTAAGGAACCTCTCGGTTTACTTAATTGGTTTTACGTTTCTCTCATTTAACCAAAGATGACAAATATTTATGATTGATATCTGCTGGAGCTTACTCAAAACATTGATGATAATGTCTTCAATATGTACTCAACTGATGGTTGAGAAATGTTTGGTTCGTTTGTGGAACTTTTTATCAAAATATAAGTTAAATTACAAAAGGGTAACACAAGACTAATTTCCTTGGATAAATTTTCGGAACACAGATGTCACATAAGAAGTTAACTATCAATGTAAGTGAAACTTTTTTAAATGTTGGTACAACATTGAATGATATTATTTAAATTTCGAATACACTGATGATGGTTGTTAGATTAACAAATCAAAAATACTGAAACTATTGATTTAATTCATATGTATATACAATCGTCCTTGCGTGCAAACTGAACAATAAGTAAAACAAAACGTACGCTTTGAATTTCACTATTAATATTTACTAAATACACTTTTATTATATATGGCTAATTAAGTAAAACGCTGCATAGCATATTAGCTAAGGTGAAAAACCAAACATTTACACATAATTTCAGTTATAATAAGAGCCTTTAGATATACGTCGTTAAAATAGGCGGTGTAAACTTTCTAGTATTGTTAGTAACTTGTAAAGATTATAATATTGTATTTTATATGATCTACACCAACTGTTCGAACCCAATATTTGTTTCTTTTAATTGATAAAAACCATGATATGAAATGAGCATCCCTTTACCTTTCTATTAGTTAAAGAAATTATCACTCACGTAGTAAGTAACTATTTATTTTATAGATTAATTCGGTAGTTTGAGACGGTTTATCCTGACCAAGTTCACGCTTGAAACATCTTCGAAAATAAGTTGAAATGTCAAGATGAATATTATCAGGAAGTGGTGAATTGTTTGTTTGTTTTAAAGCCGTTGATAAACTAGAAAGACATGAGAAAAAAAGTGTTCATAGACTGAGAAAATAACCACTTCATAAAGTCTTCTAAAGAAGTAATAACAATCACAAAACCTTAAACAAAATATACCTTGACCACGAATTCTAGGATGAGTGGTTATGAATTAAGAAGTAAATACAAGTCAAGTGAGGAGATTTCAGTCAGTTTCTCTACATGGCTCTACCCTAATATTCAGTCTTTACAATTTTATTTACAATCATTTCCAATCTTTAGGCGCGTTATATACTTATTCGTAGCCCATAAAATGATTAGCACCGAACTTTTACTTCAGCAAGCACGGAGTGATGAGGTATTTTTTTGCTTGTTATATGCAACATATTTCTATGGATTCTTATTGAACACTATTTAGTAAATATTAAATTTCAACTTCGTAGATTGGTAAACGATCCATAAAACCTGTATGACATAATCACTTATGGCTTTTAATCATTTTTACTTTCCCGTTTAACATCCCTATAAAATTTTTTGTTGGTCAGTCTGTCGGTCATTTGTCCTTTGATACGGCTTCATTTGTGGATAAAAGATGCATAAATTGATTTATGTAAGCAATCATCAGCCCATCATAATCTTATCAACTGATCAAACACCCACATATCTATACAAAATTGCTTCCTTATAGCAACTAGTGAGGTAACACTTTCTAAGTATATAATGTTCTATTCTTGAACACCTAATCGACTATAACCATTCAACAGATCCACAAATTGATTTTAAGGTTGTTTATATGATTCGTTCAAATCTACCCAGATTTCTTCGTATACAACTTTTAAAAATAGCCGAAGCTCTTGCCATCCAGGAGCTTAAACCAGAACTATGCGTACAAAAGAAGTACGTCTTATCGTTATCGTTACCTTGGCCTTAATTAGTTTGATTATCCTACCATTAATGTTATTATTATTATTATTATTACTGCATTCCCCCTTTACTTATGTCTTATATTCTCATTGTTTTATTCATGAACGCTCATCATATCAGTTTATTTTTGTACACCTCTATGACCTTAAATTATTATATCAAAAACATTTTAATCATCTTATTATAATCACTAAATCTATTGTTATTGTTATTATTCATATAATTACAGTTTACTTAGTAACAGAAATGGAAAACATTATTGAGTGAACTCAGAAAACTTAAAAAAACCACTACAATAATGATAAATTCCCAAATGAAGTTTAACAAACATTGTATTATTATTTCTTTCCATTACGAACAATTACCCTAAAAAAACTGCAGTTTATTAAGTGTTCAAAAAGAAACATTGTTTCATTTTCCAAGATTTAAACAAATATATCTCATTAAGTTCATATTTGATAAGGGATAGAATCAACACGTAGTTCGTAAATAATTATTTAGTGCATAAAATGCTCGTTTTTGCGTAGTCGATCGTTAGTACATAGCTATAAGCTTCACGACTAGTAAGTTGATGTCTTTCAAAGGTTACCAGATTGTTATTAAAATGCGGAGTCTCGTTGGTCAATTACCTAATATTAAATATTTCAGAGAGAGGAAAACTAATTTTTACTTTTAGTTACTGTGATATGCAATATAATGTTTTAAACATTGTGAACTATTATAAACTAAATGTGATTGAAACTACTAAAAAAGAATTTAAATTCAGGGGTTTAAATGTTTTACATGTTAACCGATTAATCATTCTACCATCAGTAGTGAAGAATTCAATAAATGCATCTGATCATAGCTTATGATTAACGAGTATAGTGATTGTGCATATAGGATTGTAATAAAAGTCAAATTAATCATAGAACTAAAGATTTGATTGAGAATTAAATATGAAATTTGAAAATAATCACTTACCTTGAACTATCAACGTTATTTGAGGAAATAGAGGGTTTATTATGATCGAAATATTCATCAGGACCATTCGATGGTTCTTTATCATTACTAAGTGTATTGTCAGCTACTTCATTCAAAAACTTGAGTGGATATGATTTTTCACTAGTAATAAATTAAAATATATATAAAGATGAAAAAGCTTTGTTTTATAATTTTAGTAAGATGTTCCGAAAACACAAACAAGTAAACTTAAGCACTAATGTTACCTTTGGCTTAATGGTATACGGTGACTGTGATATTGAAAGGAATATGTTTAAAGGAACTAAATAACTCAAATCCAAAATTTTCATCTTTACATAATTGATCTTAATTTTAAGGAACAAACTATAATATCTGTGATTCTAAACACAGCTGCCTCTTTTATGTTTAACGAGTATATACTAGCAAATAAATGTTTTATGCGCATTAAAATTCGTCCAGGATGTTTGTAAAAATTAATGTACTTTGTAAGAGTAAATAACTCCGATACGCTTTAGGTCTAAAATGGGATGGATTTCATTAATTTTTTTAAAATGATGATGATAATAAGTAAGAAATTCATAAGTGAATATGTACATATAAATGGTTGAAAGAATACGAATAAAAACGTAAATTTCCATAGGTTTTGCAAGAGATTCCTAAAAAGAGACTTTTTTGATATAATGGGGAAAATTTGTGAAATATTATTACAGAATTAGTCTGTCAAAACTAAAGTCAAAATGACTAGAGAAAACGTTTCATAGATGAAATCTATAATACATATAGAATTTACTTAGAATTATGTTCAATACGCGTCGGACAATCGACATGTTTGAATAAAGCCGAGTTAAAATTTATCAGTGAGGAAACTTGTATAAAATAAACTCAATTTTAATCATGTAATATTTTTCCCAGTTTGATTGGCTCCATGAGCATACTCACACAAGGTAAAAATTATAAAAAAATATTTCTCATGATGTTCAGTAGATTAATCAACTACTACTAAATAAATTAAATATAACAGCAATATGAACAATTAGTTTCTATGATAAGCAAGATGTAAGCCGTACAATCAGGTCTTAATTTGTTAAAGATTGAGCGACCTTCAAAGTTGATTTTCTATAATCGTTTATGACGTCTAATCGTATTTCTTTTTTCGTCATTATTCTGTAAACAGGCGTGTTATTTTGTTCATTAAATAACATATTCTTCGGTCTGGTAATCTTGCTACTCATTAGTTCATTTGGGTGTTTAAATCGTTAATCCGGTCTTGTGAGCAACCAGCTTCCAGCCACACGGAAACATACGCCGTCAAATCGATATTTAAAGTATCCGATCAAAAATTAATACAAAGTTTACAGACGTTTATCGGATTTACTGAAGATTTGAGGAAATCAATCATATAAGACAGAATATGATTAAACCTATAGTACAGGTTTGACTTCCCACTAAATATTTTTAAAACTGTAAATATTAGTACATAGGTGATCTTATATTTTATTTACTTATATTATCGTCTTTAATCAATTTCCAGTTTACTAATTAGTGTACAAATGTCTTAATTAAAATTAATTAACAGTTTCTAGCCATCACATGACATCTACATTTTTGCTTATTTATAAAATGTATTGTGATAGTTATACATTAAATATTCAGTGGGATTTTAAATAATTCTTAACATTCTAGAGACTTACTCAGATAAAGGTAATTTATCAGCTGGCCAACTTTCATCGTCCATCAATACTTCTGTATAATCTTTCGTGTCCCCGATGCAATATCCAATGGACATTTGTTGTCCTCTAAAATGTGAATTTTGGTGTAAAGGAAAACAGAATAGTTACAAGTAAATTTAAACAGTCATTAGTTTACTTTATGTTTATTAAACATTTATGTTAAGAATGGATTTTTTTACAATTTTCGCTGAATGAGGAATTACTCCAAACGGAAGTGTACTGGATCAATGATTTTTTCCTTTTTAAGACTCTTAAATTATATACCTAACGGGACCCATGGTCCTTAGACATCACGATGAAGAAGGAATATGTAAAACGCTAAATTAGACTATACTAGTTGTTATTTTTAACTTAAGTAATTTCTTCCCTAAAGTAAAACCCCAATCCTCTGATAACATTATTATCTCAGTAAATAAAAATTTCAGAAGTAGATACAAACCAGATGAGTGTAAGACCTGAAAGTATGAAATATATCTAAAATTAGATTGCATTGTACATACTTCAAAGTTTACTCTACAGATACCTGAATATGATGGGACAGATATGAAAATTTTATTTCAAAAACAGTATCATTCGTTTTTGTTATTACTCATTTGTCTATTGTAGATAACAGTAATTTTAAGTTACAAACATTGTTTTATGTGTTACACAGCAGCAATGCTAGCAGTAAATATACGATATTAAATAAATAATTAAAGTAAACAGTAAGACGTCACATGTTATCGCGTGATACACACGCCAGTTGATTAGCCTTCCGTGAGAAAACTCATTTGTTTAAAAAAAGCATAGTATTATGAGTAAGCTAAATCCTGTGTGTTCTGCATAAGTATGTTTGAGAAGTGATTTTATTTTATTTGATATAACGTGTCTCTTTCTCAACCTTAAAAAAAATGAAATAATTGAAACCTTCAGATTTAACTCTCACTCTAATAATAATAAACATTTTTGAGATATAAAATCCAACCTTGGCATTAAGACCCAGAATCTCTTTTGATAGCTGCGATAGATATTTTGGTAAAATGCCATTATCGTTGTCTTTACTATCATAAAACTTTATGGGATCTGTAAGATGTTTAAAAATGGCTGCTGAAGATAATGGATTGTATTAGTCGAACATATGTTATTTGCATTCCGAATATATTTTTCAGGCACTTTCCCTCTATTAATATTGATAATGCATAGAGGCCTTGACTACGTCTTGGGAATTTTATTTTACAAGGTTCTTGAGACCACTGAATATCTTTCATAAGAATTTCAATAGAGTTTTATACTAACTGAAAAGATTTTTTAATATATGAGTATAAAAATAAAGGTAATAATTCGGACGCTTATACAGATAAATGTTTTGAACGATAAAGCATCAAATATTTCAAATCACCAAGTATACAACCAAAATTTAGTCAGTTTATACAGGAATTATTTCATATAAAGTATAAGTTACCTCAAAAGAAGCACAGAAACAGATACTAGAGTGTAAGCAAGAAGTGTTCCGATAGACATCATATCGACTAGATCTTGTAAACTGAATACTGCCGTCATTATGCCTGAAATTATCACATATATAAGTGGGTAGATTAGCATGATTTGTTAATAAGCCATTTATTAATAAGTTATCACTAAGAAAAGTTGAATAATAAGTAAAATTATAATTCTAAATGTCAAACGTGTGATAAATCTATATCAAAATAAGTCTTCAAATTATAGGACTACTTATTGTTGTATAGAACTAAAGATGAGAAATTCAACTTATTGGTTATGATTTAAGCAATACTTAAACTACAAAAAAATATGATCAGAGTTTACAACCGTCATTCATGACAGAAAGTATATCTATAATATTACGTAACAAGATATTCAGTCATATAAATTGGTTTTGTAGGGTTCCACCGATTTCCAAGATATACCATTTAAGCCTATTGATTAAAGCTGTGATATATATATGTATGCATAGACATGGATATTCAAAAATACTTACATCCAATAACACCTGATACGATAGTACCTAAAAGTGGAGTTTTAACTTTTGAATTTATTTGATTTAAAAAACCAAATAACAGCCCATCAGTTGCCATAGCATACAAAATGCGTGGCAATGGGAACATTGAACCTAAAAGGCTAAAAATATGTATAATTTACTAAATTAATTGAAATGTAATTGAAATAAAAAAGAATTATGTTAGTGCATAAATGATTTACATAAGTTTGACTAATTTTTTCATGATACTAGCAAATTCATAACAGTTAGAATCCAAGGTACTAGATGTTAAAAAGCAGTGAACTTCACATTTGTTAATGATCATCAAATTAATACTTTTGAAACCTGATAAAGTCAATGTTATGTTTTTAGCTTATACAATTATCGCGAAATACGATTACCAATTTAGATACACTAACTTATACGATCAAACTAATGACGCATACACTAGTATGGGCAGCCTAGAGTTCCGATTATTCCCTTTGCCGCCTGACCCTACCTGTTAAGTCCACAACGCCAATCTCAGCCTCCGCAATACGAATCGTATATTTCATACATAATAGGTTTATATACAAGTAAAATCAAACCACATCACACCATAAAATAGAAAATAACATTTGTACAAGAACAAGCCCAAAGTGGCTGTGATTGTGAGGAACTTTGACTAATAGACTGAGAATAGTAAGTCATATAACAGTAACCAATAAGTCAAATAAAAGCCTATAACGAAAGGAATATGAATATATATAATACAGTTACTTAATGGTCATACAATAGAAATATTCGTAAAATATTAGTCCATTGACTTTTTCTCGTCCGGATATAATAGTTAAAATTCATTAAGTATTTTGTTATATCGGTTGATTTCAACCAACAAAAGCATATTAGTTTACGAAGATGGCTAAAATGTTGAATGAATGTATTTTAATAACTGGTAAATAAATAACTTCATTTAAATAAGGTTATTGTAAATGTATAATTTTCCCTAATTGTTACATTGAGAAAAGTTGTGAATTGGCTACTTTATGTTGATTTGCTAGTCCAATTTATTATAATCTAGTAGGAATAGAAAAATACACAAATTAGTCTTGGGTTATTTGAGTAGATTATTGAATAAAGCGTTAATTCCAACAGAGAAAATATGCAGAGGATTTCAAGTTTTATTTACATAGGTAAATAAGTATTGTTTGGAAAAAAACTTCTTGCTTCGAAGTAATAATAAAGGATCATAAAAGAAAATATCATGATGCGATTGTTAAGAACTTTCATTCAACCTATAACTAGTAAAAATCATTTGACCGATTTACTAAGTAACGTGAAAAAATGAGTGCTGATGATCCCAATTATCATACAACAGACAATGACAGTGATCACATTACTCTATTCAAAATTATTATGGAAGTGAACAGTATGACAATTATTAAATAGTTACGTTTATTTTTTCACATTTTTTTCGTTTTATAAAACCCTAAATAATAGATTTGTAGAGCAATAAAATGATACATTTACGTACAAAAATAATAATAGAAAAATAAATATGAAGTGCCATGAACATCATATTTGTAGGATATTTACTGTCCAATTCCCTAAGACTTTCCAGTTATAGAAGTAAAAGGAACATTCATTTCAAAATGGAGAGAAGAAAATACAAAATTCAGAACAAACTTAATTCACGGTAAATAAGTTTGAAAGACTATGTACGTTCGTAGTATAATTTCCAAGTTGTTAAATCTATGCTAACTTTAGGTCTACCGCTTTATGCAATAAAGATGATGAACTACTACTAATAAACTTTGGTAAAATATGCGTCACATTTGAGTTGTTAATAACTGTTTAGTATATCATTTTTAATTACTTTATTGATAAACATTTGCAGTTTGTAAGTTGAATATATCATACTAGTTTAATAACTTATTTAATTGAAGTGAAATTTTAATAGTGTAAGCTTTATTGTCGAACTAGTAGCTTTGACAGTTAAATGACTGAAAAAAGATGTATTCACTTTTTATTTTGTTTTAAAAAATTAACGTCAAAATATCCTATTGTTTTCCATATTTCATTGTATATCTTTTTCTCATATCTCTTATTGTATTGACAGGGAGAAATGGTAGTCTTATTCAACAACTTAATTAAATAGATGTTTCATTATCTATTCATTAACTAGAATATCAAATTGTTGATGGGGTCAGGTAGTAGGGAAATATATGGTATTCATTTTATTTCATTTAAGTATTATCTTATATACAAGTTAATGTGATTAGATAGGCTAGCAATAACCATCCGTCTCTTCTACAGTTTGACTATCACGCAATAGAATACTGATTTAGGATAATCTCTTCTGCATCGTTGAGACAAAACATTCTAGGATATTGTAAAGATAAGCAGTTACCAGTATACATCGTATAAGAAGCTTCTAAACGAAATTAATTGCTTTGTTCAACTGAAAACAACCAAATTACTTTGACGAGTAAATCAGTTTATACCATTTATTGTATTTTTAATAAATACTCATGGACAAAATACGGTTGAAAGGATAAGTTTATTTGAAAAGAGTAACTAACAAAGCTAAATATGGTGTTTATCGACTAAAACAGAACACTCAATTCAACAATAATAATATAAAAATTATATATAAGTTTCATAAGCATTGCACTTACCAAAATGTAAACATTATAATGATATTTAATTAAAGTGCATGTTTGATAATAAAGTCATAAAAATGCTGATATTTTCACAGCCACCAAACAACGTTTTCATATATTAATTATTCTGGTAAAGCTATTTTTAACTCAGTTTAGTTTTCAGTCTACAGGTTGATGGATATTTAAGCTGTAACAACCAAACGAAAATAGCAATGATTGTAGTCAAAGATTTTCAATGGCCTATGAAATACTGGTTGGAAAAGCTATGTAACTAGAGACAACCTTAAGTGTATGCTATAAACGAAAGCTAAATTAAGCGCCTAATTCATGTCCAGAACTTCTTAATCAGTAACTAAAAGCTTTTACCAATTACAAACAAGTATATCGATTAACTGAATGTAAATAAAGATACGGAAAATAATGTGTGATTTATATTCCGTATTCTCATGATAAAACAGTTTTGTTGTAAAATATATCAGCGTTTAACAAATTTATGGATTTATTCAGTCATTTTAGATAGATCTTCAGTCATGAGGCAATATAGATTCAGTATCTTTTGTGAATCATAGGGATAATAAGTAACTGCAATTTCTCAGTCTGGGACATTTTTGGGAACCCATGAATTTCAAAGGCAATGATCGTTTAGTTATAACCTGATAATTCATCGATAAAATAAGAAATGACACCCCTGTTTTCTCTGACTTCAGTTTGATATAAATAGGATGACAGAACTAAGATTAGATGGTCTGCTGTTAATTTATTTCAAATACTTTCTCAGCAAATATCAACCCATAGCTGCAACATATTGTGGTCAAATCGATTCTTATTATCTCTGAAGTGTTATTACGTTAAAGCATCGTTAACAAACCTAGTAGTTAGAGCACACAAAGCCCCAGTGGAAATAATGTATTTTGCCCATTGTAAGCCATGGCGACTAAATGCAAGTGGTAGAGCAGCAACAGAAGAGATAGAATAATATGGTACCATTAACGTAAGTGTAGCAGATATAAGACCATATGCCAAGAAACATATTAGCAGGCATCCGATAATACTTATAGGAATCGCTGTTTGTGGATTACGCACTTCCTCACCTTAGAAATAATAAAATAGGAAATTGAAAAAAGTAAACAAAACTTTATGTACAGTGTGTGATTAAAAGAAGCTAGAATAAATAACTTGTTACTGTTTACCTAAATAAATTTAGAGCAGCATGCTCATAACTTAATATGTTACTATATTTCTTAAACGACTTATTTCTGGAGTTCCATTTTTCGCCGTTGACAAAATATTGTTCAAGTATCAAAAATGATAACATATGTATGATTGCATAGGAAACAATATGTGAGAACAAAAACTGTTCAATATTTAAAAAAAACTAAGTCATATTGATACCTAAAAATCACCTCAATAAGATGGCAGTTTTTTTATCAACAGTCTAATCAGAAAGACTTAAGCATTTAAAATGTCAGACGTTAGGTTAGAGTCTCAGTCGAATTATTGCCAATTGATGAAATATATATTAAGCTTACCGATCAAAAACAAATAAAACAAAACAATGAATCTTGAATTCACCGAGTAATCACCAGTAAATACTGCAAAACTGAACAGATAATACAATTTGATCACGTGATATAAAGTTATTCATTTTCAAAAAGTTAAAATTAGCAGATGATGAACTGGTAACTGTAGAGCTTGTTATCGTAATTAGTCTGGTATCATCAAAACTTTTTGTTTCTATTAGACTTATTTTTGTCAGTAATTATGTATATCGTGAAGGTGCTGATTTTTTTCAATTGTGACTTAATGATTACCTAAATATGATTGATAATTGTAATTGATTTCGGATAACTTATTTTGGTAGATCAAGTTTTTTTTTAAAATTTACTTTTTATCATTAGATTTTGATCTATTAAACTTACTAAAACTTATAACTATCAAGTTCTTTTATTCTGACAACAACTAAAAGTGTTTGTAATTTTTATCCAAATATTTTAAGATCAATGTCACCTGTGAATTGAAATTTATCATGCACGATTATAGTAGTAAGATGAACATTCGAGCAAACAAAATTCATATTTTTTTCTTTTGATCAATCCTCATATTTAGATATATGCTTAACAGTATTTCTCTTGTAGGTTCATAAAAGGTCTAATTTATACAATTAACGATACAGACTATTCTATATTCACTTTTCAAGGATTTAGAACTTTACGTAGTATGTAAAATAACACTACAAAGTGAACTTACAACTTGAGCGTTGTTAAGAAATTCATAAATTAACCCTTAAAATCTTTCATTTTATATAAATACTAGTCTAAGACATAAATAATAATTAAAGTAACTACCTGTTGTAGCAATAATATCGAATCCCACAAATGCAAAAAAACATGTTCCAGCTCCGGAAAGTACGCCGTTCAAACCAAAAGGAAAAAACCCGCCATTTCCTAAATCCGTACGTTTTACAGTATTATTGATAAGAACCTGATAATCCAAAAAGCGTTTGAATAATTTGAACAATAACTTCAGAAATATGATTATCAATTTTTTAAATAAAAATACTGTATTATTCTTTTTAGCTTTTACATTTAATAGATGCTCATGAATTCAAACGCAGTTAGGATTTATAATTGGCTATCACTTAAGTACTCTAGAAAGTATATTAATGGTGTGATAGACAAGTGAGTAACTTTAAGATTGATTGAATTTCGGACTACATTAATATCAATGTTTACTTTGAGAATGAAATTCTGGGCTAATAATACAGCCTGAATGTCAAATTAATTATGTCTCAACATTTAAACTAAATTTATATATCCCCTATGGTTATTGAACTTTAGTTTTGGACATTTACGACTTACTGCAAACATTTTTTCATCAATTTTCTTTTTCAAAGGAACTTTTTCAGTGTCGAATCGTAGATTTCATTTAAAATAAATATAATGAATGTCACTTATAATTTTCTGGTCTCCAAACTGTCGTTTTTTCAATACTGTTAAAATTCAGAGTAACTAGAAGTCTCTAATGAGATATTAAGCCATGGTTTACTCTATTTAGTTTATTTAAGACAAATTGATCACAAATTAATTGTTAATATATTAATGAAATGGTTTACAGTATCATATCTTTTTTAAAATGATACATTGTTTACTAAAATAGTGTTTATTTCAGCTTTCTGCATCAGTATAAAAAGATTCTTTTACGTATAAAAACCATTGTTAATAGATAACAAAACGTGGTTAGTAACTAGTTGTTACTTAACTGGTATTCAAACACATCAAACATCTGTCTTCAATCAATAGTCTTACTAAGGATATTATTGTTAAACAATCTGAAGATTTCGAATAGATTTTCAGAATTAGCCAACTATCGGGACATTAAATGACCCCAGAGGTTTTCCCTTTCATCTTCAGCTTAGGGATACAATTCCGTCAGTTGTACAATAAAGCGAATATTCACACTGCTAACTGACATCTTTTGATTAACATGAAATAATGATATTAATGAAAGTGAAATATAACGAAAAGCAGTACTGAGTTACTTCCCGTTTTTCACGCAATATTTATTTCAAATAGTTAAAAAAAACCTAGAATATGAGTAGATTTAACGAAGGAAATATAATTTTCAGCCAATTCAAAGAAACACACTTACATTTTCTGGAATAACTTTCCAGTTATCAATATTTGCATAAATCAACCCAGTTACAACTACAAATATGATGACACACAAGTTGACTATTGTGAACACATTGTTAATCATTGCGGATTCTCGTACACCGATGCTTAAAAGAACTGAAATAGATATATCAAATGAAAAGTGGTGGATAGAAGACAGTTCTTCGTTGGGGGAAATAAAATAGAAAAATCGGCGAGACTATAATCTGTGGACGAACCAATCAGATTTATGACAACAAGTTTTGGATTTTGGAACGAAATTCGTCCATCCATTTGGCTGAATAGCATTTTGGCATTTTGTGTGATGTCATCTCGTGATGAAAATCCTAACTCTAAATCCTAATTCTAACCATCAACTATAAATCATAATCGTTATTATTCACACATGTTTATAATAATTTTCAGTGCGTCGACAACTTTACTTATTTCGGAAGTCTGATCAGCCCTAATGGGTTGGTGTCTGATGAAATCTCTGCACGGATTCAAAAAGCTCGCTAGCTTTTGCCAACTTACGTCACCTCTGGTGAAAGAGAGATATACGTCTCTCAATTAAAGGATGCGTGCACTGCTCGGCAGTTCGTTCTGTTCTACTTTACGGCTGCGGAACGTGGCCAATAAGAGTAGGAGATACTCGTAAGCTACTAGCATTTGAGCACAGCTGTCTTAGAAATATTGCTCACATCTGCTGAGATCATCGGGTAGGTAATAGGGAGGTTAGACGCAGAGTATGAGGAAATGATGGTAAATCAGTCGATGAAGTTGTAAATCTTCATCAATTGATATGGTTGGGCCACATGTTACGTATGCCTGAACACCGATTACCACGACGCGCAATGCTGACAAATGGTGGGGCCGGTTGGAAGAAAGTTAGGGGCAGCCAAACCAAAACACGAGATCAGTCTTTGAAGTCACTAACTTCTGATTTGAGCCATATTGATAGATACAGACTACTTGGTTGGCGTATACAGTCTTTGCCATCCCTTAAACCGTAATATTAAAATTGCTGTATATCTTTCTTTCTATGAACTAGTTCTTCCTTCCCGTACTGCATTCTTACATACAATCTGGTTCTATGAATTCGGTGTTCATCTTGTTGTGTTAATGAAGTGTAGCAACTTGGACCGATGCATATATGTGCCTGGTTCTACGTTGTAGCTGACTAACTAGCTGATACACATTTACAAACTTCATTTAGCCCTAGTAAGTAGGTGGACATTCTCAAGGTCACTTTGGCGTTGCTCAAAGGTCGTCCATAAATTCTAATCTCACCAAAAAATCTTCTGAGATATTTTCTCAGTTACAAAAACACTATCTCAGAGTAGTAATTTAGATATCAGTTGAGAGCAGAAATCTAAAAGTTGTTCCAAAATTTGTAGAACAGTCCCAGGTTACCCAACAAGATACTAGGCTCACTGTTTGCGGCAAAACCCCCACAAATAGTTTCCTGTCAGATATGAATGACTGGTCAAGTAATTAACTATCAGTTTTGAGATCCTATGGGATCTTGAAAACGTAAGACTTGTAAAATACATGACTGGAAATAGGATTATTATTCCAATACTTGGATTGCAGTCCTATATATCAGTAGTAAGATACAATCAATTAAACTTCACCCTATTGCATAAACCAGTAGCCGAATGGACTCAGTGGCCAAGTGGATAACGAGATAGTGTCTGAAAAGAATGGTGATGGGTTCGAGTCTTGGGTAGAACATCAACTCTGGGATGTAGGTAGGTCCAGCTAACGAGTCTCGAATAAAACAAAACGCTCTTCCTGGATTTCACTGCTAGCTACCATCTACCTCTGCTTATAATGCTTGCAACTTAATGACAATACCGAACCAATCTCCACAGGCTGCACATGTCTCTAAAGAGACTGATTAATTGAAGTTTTCAACATTGATGGGAAGATTCAAGCAACCATTACAAATGAATTAGTATTGTATGAACTTTGATTTTCAAAGACAATCGTTTTGAAAAATGATAACTTGATTCGTTTAGATTAATAAGAAAGAATTTCCATTTAGTGGTAGTGTAGAACAGTTTCAACTGAAACTTTTAATTTATTAGGTGAAAGTCAGTGCGATAGTTAACCTTGCTTCGCTCAAACGATCAGTGAAGTCTACTAAATAGAAGAACCAAATTCACCGTTGACAGTAGTTAGATGTCATATTTTAATATTATTTCTCATAGGTGTAACTGAACAATCAAAATTATGACAATCGTAGAGCAAATGTTCTTACTTGTCATTAAAATAATTAAGCCAACAGCAAGTGGATCTACATATTCAGCTAAACCAGGAAGATTTAATGTCAAATGCTTTTTAAAAAATTCTTCTATTTGGCCGTTGAGTATACCATCGAAATTAGAGCTCCAAGCTCGTGCAACACTTGCGATACCTAAGGTAAGAAAATTATTATTTCAAATTTAGATGAGTTTATATATGTTTAGTTATCAATACACGTTTTTGGTGTAGTGACTGATCATCATAACAGCTTCATAATAACTAATTTTATTGCAGATAAAAAATTTTAAACTATCAGTTTTCCCTCATATTTCTGACAACACTTCTGAATAACATGGGGTCACGGAAATAACTTTGCGTTTGTGGACGAAAGTTATGGTTAGTCGTTTAATCGTTTGACTGTCAGTACCCTTATAATTTGCTTAATCTTGCTTGAAATAATAGCCTGATGTAAATTATAGTGAAAGTGTTATGAAAAATATGAAAGGAAGAAAACAGTTCAAATAAGTTAAACCAAGTTATGGTTTCCGTTTTATTAGAGTTTTGTCGCATTATTCATATGAAAGATAAAAGACAACATCGGGACCACCAGGGACAATGACTCATAACCTTAAAGAAATAATAAGTATTCTTAACTGAGTTGGCTGAGATTAAGCAAACGCAAAACACAAATGCGCATGACCAGGAGTTGTTAACCAGATACTTTATAGCCAAATTAATATAGTGATGATCCTAATGAAGGGTATATTTGGCATGTGCCGTTGTATGTTTTGTTAGAAAAAATGTTTTATGTACAATAGCATCATTGTCGTTCATACAACTATTCTAATCAGCGAAACTCTGGTTGCTTCCGGAAATTCACACCTACGTTCAAATACAGATATAACAATTTTTAGTCCAAAGCGATGTTAGATAGAAGGAAAAGTAGTCGTAACAGAAATAAATACATCAGTTTTGTTCATGATAATTGTTATGTTATTCCGACACAGAGTAGGATTACCACATGTGCTGAGTTCACTCATTTCACTGTAGGTGCTAACCAGGGGTTTCGAGTTATTCTCCGTGCCTGTTCTTATTACGAGTATTACGCAATCAGTTAAGGAGAGTTTATTTAACCTTGATTTAGTAAAATGTTGGACAGAATCTCTTGCAACTAATATGCATACCATTCTATGTATCTTTAACAGGAATGTTATCGTGATTCTCTATCTATAGTTTGTTATATCCTAAAATCCAGAGAGTAAAACGTAGCATCATGCTCATGTTCCATTTTACTCAACTTAAGTATATATTACTGTTCAGATTTCTAGAAGACAACTGTTTTCACATATCTTCGTTCGGTTGAAGTATGGTACCATTAACATCCGATTTATGCAAAACAAATATTTATGTGATGCTTCGTGTCACGAGAGCTTGTATTGTAAAACAGATGTTATCATACCAAGAAACGTAGTCATTACAGAACACTGACTTGAATAACTTAGGCGTAACTCATATGCTCTAATTTCTCGGGCGTTAAGTGAACCATTATTAATGAAATTTTGCAATAAACTCCGGGTGATCTGGTAACTACACATAACCGTAATTGATAGAATGCTACTCACGTTAAGTACTTGTTGATACGTCCTGACTACCCACGTGATGATCAGACGAAGTAGATATTAGGGCTCACAACCGTTGGGAATAATGTACCTGACAAAATATTTGCATTTTCGATATAATTTACTACAAACCTATCATACACAGTTACAATTTTTTAAGTATATGACTAGTATTGATTTTAAATTTTTGTTACAACTTCTATTATTCTTCACCTCTCCTATCTATTTAGATTACTGTTTCGTTATGATACTACTGTACATGTAATTCCTATTTTTGGAGCAAAAAAATAAATATTTGAAAAGTATCCACGGCAATTTCACAAGTTACTATATGAACATACCGATTACATATTCTAGTATCAGATTCCAACCAATTGTAAACGCCATTATTTCTCCAACAGTAATGTAGCTATATACATAAGCTGATCCACTTTGTGGCACACGGGCTCCAAACTCGGCATAACATAGTCCTTAGCAAGAGGGGAAGAATATTCGATTAGTTTCTCGTCAAACTTAAGCTACTTTACTCAGGAAAGTTGAAAACTTTGGCGCATAAAAGGATCTTTCCTCATTAAAATTTTGTTTGAATGTTACTTCAACAAGGTATATTCTGCCTGAAACGGTATTTTCAGGAATCTGTTTAGCTTCCATTTCAGTAGTAAAAAAATCTAAATGAATTTTTCAATATAAACATTTATGTCCATTATCCTGTTTATATAATAACACAATACTTCATATGATAAACATATGACGTAAATTGAATTTTCAGAGAATTAAAAAGAGTGAAAATATTATATGATACGGCACAAACCTTGCGTGAAATGATTAGTAAGTAATTAATCAGACACTGCATTTCACGATTCCACTGGTATTTTAATGGTTGTGGAGCACAGTCCGATTACTAAGTTTTGTGTACTACACTCTGCAGTCGTCTTATATTGTGCATTTTCTACCAGTCAACAGTGATATACACACCAGATGGCTGACGAGAATGTCGGAGTCAGTGGTTCTGTTTTTAGTATCAGAAAGGGTCTTATGGAGATTGTAGTAATTTCAATGGTTGGGATCATGAGTCAATTGAAACCAAACTACCATGGAAAACCAGGAAGCACTGGACGGCCGTTTCGTCCTATTGTGGGATTCCTCATCAGTGCGCATCCACGACCCCGCCTTGCGGGGTTCTGTTTTTGACTATTACGCTGGAAAACTCGAGTTTGAAATTTAGCCGGAGTTCAACTTTTTTAATCTCAACACTAAAGAATTTACATTGATAATCAACTGAACCTCATGAACTCTGTTTAAATGCTTTTTTATTTATGCTACCAAACTACACAAACATTTGAAAACTAGATGTCCTCAACGATTATATCATGATGATACAAATACCTTAAAAATTAAGGTTTATCGGCAGCACAACTGATTGATATTCCGTGGATTGTATTTTTATAATTATGATGGTTTTGCATGAGTCAACTATGTCATATTTTTACTCTATTTGTTTAATACACCTAAATGTTTCGCAAGGACAGAGGAAGGTTGCTCTCATGCCTGAGTTTAAAGCCCTACATTTTAAAGACAGGCTAATTTCACAACGGTGGCAAAGACAGACAGGATGTACATAAAGCTATCTGGTCTCCACTGTATATAGATCACTTTTAAAGGACACGCCACCACTAGCACCCACAAAATCATTTGTATGCATAATATTTCTTACTACTTCTAGCGAGTCACCACAAAGAGCACCGGCACAGGAATCTTCCAATATTTTAAAAGTAATTCGCATTTAAAAGGTGAAAAGTACATATTATAACGACGGACAATGGTTGTCAACAGGTTAAGCGCGGACTATGCAGCCTGAGTACCGTGACACAGTAAGACAGCCGACCACAAATGTTTTCAATCCTCTTGCAAAATGCAAACTTTTTTCATTTAGCGATCTCCCTTTATCATCAAACCCATCGGGTTAAACGATTTTGTCCGACATAAAAACAACGGCAAGCGTTTTCCACTTTGCTGGTCCAGATTGTGAACTATACAAATCCTTATCGTTGGTGCTAGTTCTCTACAGTTGCAAACTTTTGTACATCTGCTGAATCAATTTTCCATAGTTTTATTCTTTCGCTTCGAAAGTTTGATTATACGAAAGCCAGTTTCTATTTATTTAGAAATCGTTGGACGGTTTATAAGCTTTAAGCAACGCAACTTAAGTGAGTTTATGAAGATTACCTGAGTTGTCGGTCTATTACGGTTTTAAGTATGATTCGCAAGATTAAGGTGTAGTTTTATCAGATCCAAATAACAGTCGTGAAAAGATGATAATCTATGTTCATTTTGATGGCATTTCATAGTATCTAGGTACTGAATACAAGCTAAAGTATTCACTGACGAGGAAAAAACTGAAATCCAACACCTTGGCACTTATTATTCTAAGACAGCTACAAAGTTTTACTGGCAAAATTTTGGTAAGTTCAATACCAGATATAAAAGCAGGACAAACATGCTTACAGATTTTATCGAAACTCATTATTAAATGTTATTCAACTTTGATTCATACAAAGAACGTTCACATTAGTAGGCGTTTACACAAAGATTATTAATTATATAGAAGTCTCAAACAACAGTCATAGAAGATATTCAGTGGATTTATTCCAAAGAGAACCTCTAACCAGCACTTTTGCCAACAGTGTTTATTTTCATTTCTAGACAAAACAGTTCTAAAGTTGGCTTTCTTTCTACATACAATCGTTTGCTTTAAAATACTTGTAAATTCATGTTATCACTAACAGTCTGCTTACCTAATGAAAATAATAACTTGTGTTTATCTAGACAACAACCACTTTACTATATTTTAAGATATGCTGTAGGCAATTACCCGGTGGTTTTCAAAACTCAGGAAAGTTGTTAAGTTTTCGGCAGTCATACCGTGAATAATGGGCATCACATTTAGTATTTTAACTAACTTTTCATGGTTTGGTAACACACAATATGCTTTTCAAAACTGATTTTACAAAATATAACTGATTCTTGTCGGAAATGTTTGTTTATAACGAACGATATAAAGGACAATTTAAACTGTACTTCTCGTGAAACTTGGTTATATTTAATATCTCAAAAGGTTGATCTAAAGTAACTCTTTTCCATCAAGTGATCATACTGAATGACAAAAAGGCAAACATGTTGCTATTAATAGAGCTGTTACCCTCTCCTGTATTATATTTGATAGCGCAGAAAGAACACTGTGAAGTAGTTAGTCTTATGATGATCCACCAGTTACATGCAGCATGATATAAAGTACTTTGTTCCTAGGAGCTTACTGTGAAATGAATCGATTTAAGGCAAATACCGAGATTATGCCTGATATTTGCCGATATTACAAGTAAACTGAACACACACAAAGAAAAAAGGCGTTTGTCCTTTGATAAGATACAAAATATCTGCTAGGTAAATGCCCATATTAGTTAGGAATCTACTCATAAAATGTTGCCATACCTAGCACATGCTTTAGAAATTATCATATACAGAGTAACAACTGTGCTTTAATCACATTTGAAGAGCGGGAAGTACAGAAAACACCATGTGCGGAACAAAAGCCTAGAAAATTTGGTTTAAACTTGAAACAAGTGTACTAAGTAATATTACTAAGCTGACCAAGTCATATCAGCTTATAATATAGTTCTACCGAATTCTTATAGTTCTCACCAGTATAAAGTAAAACGTCACGAAACCGTGTGGGTATAACGTGTGTTTTCTATGAAATCTAAGCATGTTTACAAGCCTAGCGTTTATATCATCATCGTACTACCAGCTCTTAAATAAAGCGGATAGCATATCCCCACAAGCTGTTTGCCATTTCGATGACCTACTTTAAGTGAAGAAAAGCTCAGCGGTTTCGCTCACAACAACAGTGCTAATAAAAAAATTCAAATTAGTGATTGTACGGTAAATAAGGCAGCCTTGAATACCATGATCTTTTGTAGTAATTCCTTAAGATTAGGCATATTTTAGCTGGCAGGTTACTTTATCGGTTAGTTTCAAAAGATAACCATGACCCTATTTAAAACGTCCTCATTCCAGTTATACATTATTAAATCAATATGACTATAGTCTAGTAAATGCTGAATTATTGTTTTGTTAGTTAGATGACAGTGATGATGTCACAGGTATTCAGTGTTTGACAACGCTTCTACCAGTAACACCTTCTAATGTATTTCGTTCCCACCCAGAGAAATCAAAAGACAGAGTCAAGGAGATCGGAAGAGTATATTTGGCGATGACCAATATATCGGAATTCTCTGATCTAATCTGGCTAGCGATTGCGGTTGATGTTGAGCACGGCGTTACCACACGTGATCTGGTGCGGATGCATGACCGAGCGCCTTCAGCTAGATGAGTCCACTAAAACATATGGTCAGCATCCAATGTCGAAAACTTAGGGCTATTTATTTTGGGGATTTATTTACCGCTACAACAGGAACACATAATCACTACCGACAAATGTCAAACTTTTTGTTCACCAATCTATGTGAAGTCAAAGTTTTAACAGCATAGTTTTATTTGACAAAGCCATCATAGGTTTAACTACAATACTACAGTAAAAGCGGTCTATGAGTAATGATAACCGATGTTTCGTTTGCGTTTACAGCAAATCCTGTATTGTACTGTTGGTTAAACATCAGATGAGCAGCAAATAACTACTTAAACTTATAAACTTATTATGAAGTTAATTTAGAAAGACCAATTTCTCTTACCTGATATACGACAAATGCTTTAAGCAACTGCCTATGAAGGTTTAAGTCCTAAAAAAATATAAAACATCTAAAACTTTCGACAGATAGTGATTTTACCACTTATAAAGTATATGTATTACTTAGTGAACACCAGATTTTCCGTTTCAAAGATACTATATAATATAAAGTGAAAATGTCATTTCACATAATTCAAAGCATCACTGACAATTTTTTGATTAAGGCACTTAAAAAGATACATACTTGAGTAGGGTTGATTTAAGACAAACCTCCGAATTCTGGAGAAAGTAATTATTGGTTTCGGCAGCTTACATGCTCAATTCATTGAATAATGACTGTATTATTTATCCGTAGTGGACAGACTTTTTTGAAACGATGATATAAAGTTAAGTAAATTTCAACAAATCGCCTTCATAATGACTGAAAAAATAAATAACCTAGAGGTGCTTATTCGAATATCTCAAAAATTTAAACCTATCTCAAAATAATTTGCTATGAAGTCTAAAAATCAGACATGATGTGACACTAAAAATAAACATCCATTTAATGATTTTTAAAAGTGAAAGACGAAAGTTGAACATGAACATTCTAGTGCATATTTTAAAGAATGCGAAAGAATAATATGATCACAGGTGTTCATCAATTACGTGGGGAAATTACCTGATAGAACAGAAGCCACTGCTGCGATCAAAAAAGATAATATAACACCAGGACCAGCTGTGAACTTGGCAACGTCGCCAACAAGAATATACACTCCAGCACCTAAAGTTGTGCCAACTCCTATGATGAAAGTATGTTTCAGAAATTGTACATAATACCTAAGGCAGTTAGATCAAAGATAGTTAGACATCTTCGCAACTCGACCTTTGGAGACTCCCTTTTGTCAATCACCTTTTTTCTGTTCAGGCTTATAAAAAAGTCTTTTGTTGTTCGAGCACATGAACTCATTACAGCAAATTAAAAATGCGCCGTATCCGTAGCCTAAATTAACTGTGAGGGAGAATTATTTCAATGCTCAATTCTAATCGAAAAGATTCAAGAAACTGATAACCATTTTCTTCAATGCGGAAAGTTTAGATGATGTCTTATTTAATTAAAAAAGGTGCAAATTGATGACTTAGACCTCAAAACAGGGAGGAAAAAGGAATGTAAATTGTCTTGGGAGAAAACTAGACACTTGAAGGCGATATGACGAGTATTCCATTCAATGATATCACTGTATTTTTGTAAGTACATCGGTCGGGTTCATCGAAACAGCAACTTCTAAGTGATTCACTTATTTCAATGGTAAGTACGATGTCTGGTTTCCGAACACAAAGGCTATATATATACATATATAATATTTATTTACGCCCGTTGCCACTCGTGCAATAGCATAGGCCGCCCACTAGCATTGTCCACCGAACTCTGTCATGAATAATCTTTCCCGGTTCGTTCCGGTTATCACTGATTCTTTTAATGAATTCTACCGATTCCATACGTATAGTGTTCTTCAGCCTTCCTATTTTTCCTTTCCCTTCAGGATTCCAGGTAGGTGCTTGCAGTTTGGTGATCTCCGCAATGTATATCCTATTCACTTCCAATATCAGATGTAAGCTGGTTTATTCTCTCCCAAGGTAAGTTGTTGCTGGTGGTTTCCGGTCAAAGGATATTGAATATCATGCGTAGTTCTCCAAATTTCAGCTCAATACAGTAGAAGAGTTTCGCTTTGATACTGGTTGACAGTTATTCCGAGTTTCATATACTCTTCAATAGTAGGAATGCAGCTCTTTACTTTGCCAATCCTCGTCTCTACGTTTGGATCCGATCATCCTTGTTCATCGATGATGTTTCCCAGGCACATGAAAAATTCCAACTCTTCCAGAGTTTCGCCATCAAGTGTGATTGGGTTGGTGTTCCCCGTGTTGTATTTCAGGATCTTACTTTTCCCTTGTGTATGTTGAGGCCTACTGATGCAGAGGCTACACTAGTTGCCTTCACCTGTATTTTTCTGTATGCACAGAATAGTAGGGTAAGGTAATCCTCAGTCACTGAAACCATACTGTCCAATTTCACGAAACTCATACATTTATGTGACTACTTTCAAAATACGAATTTGAAAAATGATTCAGTTTATCTCTCTCCGGATCTTTTTCTCACTTACAGTTTTTGATAATTTTTGCGGGCAGTTGTTCGTCTCATATTAGTTTTATTTATGATTTCCATTGAATATACTGTCAAAGTCTTGTGATAAAGAGTCTGGTAATAGACATAACTAAAGCCGATAACGTTCAGTAAGATTGCTCTGAATCTTTATTTATAGATCTTCTTAGTATTGCTGATGCCTTATTATTCGAGACTGGTGGTTTTATTTTATCTGACACTAGCTCATTTTTCCAGCCAAGGCAAATGCGTAAATTTAGATGAGTCCGCATGTAAATCACTCCCACGTCCAAGTTCCTTTCTTGTTTCTTTTGCCTTATTCTTTTACATTGTAATCTTCATATTACAATTAAACAGAGACTTACCCAGCAATCAGTAATAAATATAACAGGTACCGTTTGTTAGGTAGTTTTGACAGAAGTAAAAGATCACATTTGGATTTGTATATCTATTGAATAATGCTAAAATATGTATGATGTCCTGGCAACGACCCATAATAGAAGGACAGAATGATGTTTACGATCGAGTGAAGTGGGCATACGATAATTGGACTTACCTCAAACTAATGCAAAGATTCCACAACGTCTTTACGCGTGGCACCTTTATAGTCGAAGTATACCAACCTAGTCAAATCAGAAACCAGAAACGAAGTGATTCGAAGGTATATTTAGAAGGCTATTCATATGTCGAAAGGTGTATGGTCCAATTTGACTAGCGTTTGCGGGGAATGTGTAGAACGGAATACTCACTCATGATCTGGTTCGGACGCGTGACCAAGAGCCTTCAGCTAAATGTATCCAGTAAAACTAACGAGGTTAGCATCAACGTTGGGGACTTACAGAACTGCGTAATTCGGGGATTTATTTATCGCTACAAATGTTGGTCCATTTATCAAATATTACTACGAATCAGTTTACAAAATATGTTGTATAATATTTTAGTATCTGTTATTAGTGCACTAATATTAGTTCACAATTAAGACAAGCCAGGATTCTGTGATGACCAACAAGCAAGTGCCCAAACTAACTACAATAAATTGCTCTAAATCTTTCAATGATAAAAGGGCAATTATAGTAAAGACTGTAATAAATTATAAGTTCAATGAACCTTTTTTATTTTGTGACAAAAGTGAGTAACTTTCATTTCGGTTGCATGATGATTTGAATTTTAACTGCAAGTCACATATTTTCGCGCCTAAATTCTTACCAGAATAATGTTGATGAACCTTTACCGTAAGTCGAAGGCCAAACTCAGCATAACAACTTACATTTTTATCAGTGTGGTGATGTGAAGATTGTTAATATTTTGATTGAGATCATGAATCAATGAATGTTAGGCCACCATTGGAAACCTGGAAGCACTGCTTTCCCTACTAGGACGAAACGGCCATCCAGGGCTTACAGGTTTCCAATGGCAGTCTAACATTCATCGATTCATGATCTCCTTCAAAAACTTACTTTTTCCTGAAAATCCATTGGTTCCAGCACAGCAAAAAGAACTTGACAGTTAAACAAACCATAATGTTGCTCAGTATTTCATAGTAATGAAACCTAAATTAAGTGGTTATTGGACTGTAACAAGTATCAAAGTTGTCTAGCTCTGATAATCATTGAATTCTATCCATCTTGTTTCAGTGTGGCTACGAGTATAAGTGAATCAGTGTCGCACAATACATACTACAACTTTATATGACTGAAGGTAATCAACACAAAGCTCAGAATCTCTGTTCGTAGGTAGATTAAATTCTTCAACTTGGTGTATTTGCAATTTTAAGGGAGTTGGTTCATCACCTACGATTCTAATTCTTGTCACCTAGCTTCACAGTGCTAAGCGAAATCTACACACTTAAAGTGATATATCATCGGCACATCTAACAAATAAACTGTTCCAACTTTCAAATCACTATGACTGTTCACAAGAGCAAATATATTCAACCAATCTAAAATACCATAAATGATATTAATAAAGCACTACAGATAGTGAAGTGTTTTTGGTTCAGTAGCCGCGAAATAGTTATATCTGATGTACGAGTATACAGTAAAATTTCAGATGGGGTTTTGTGGAGATTATAATAATTTAAATAAATGAGATCATGAGCCAAGTGAATTTAAACCACCATGGAAAACCTGAAAGCACTGTACGGCCGTTTCGTTCTTTTGTGGGACTCCTCAGCCGTCCAGCGCTTCCAGGTTTTCCATGGTGGTCCAGCTTCAATCTACTCATGATCTCAACTACTGAAAATTAAGTAAAGTCATTTAAACTGAAAATCCATTGAGTTAAAACAGTTTAATTACTGAGTAAATTGAAGTATCCGCGTTAACTAGGAAGATACTGTGGCGTTTGAATGAGATAATTATACCTTTGTTTATTTTTGAGTGCTTGATTTCGAATTCTAAATACAGTACATTCGTTTGTGGCTATCTAGTAGTCCTTGATCCGATTACGTTATTTATGAGATTCCTAGTTCATACTATAATTCAAGTACTCGTTATCACCATAGATACTTTGAAGTCAGCGGATGGAAATCAGGTAATCATGCAGCATGAAACGTTGTTTTTTAATAATTACTTGAACAACTGACCTTGATAGTAGTTTGGAAACTTTCGAGTACAGATGAAGTCTTGCTTGTGTATCATTGGTTAGTCTTGTCATATTAAATTAAACTCAAGTTATTATTCTCCAACATGAAATCTTGTCTATGAAGCTATAACAAACCTCGTCACTAAACTAGTAAGTGACTAAGGGTATGAGAACCAACTATTTTGAAATTTTATTAACTACTGAGGATAACAAATCTACCAATTCCAAAAATAAATAGTTGTATCGATGCTGGTGATATTGTATCGAACAAGAAGACGAGTGAGGACAATCAAATGTATTTAAGCACGAAATTACAGAGCATCTCATTAAGATCTGAAAACAATACAGTAAATACTTAGTTTGCAAAATACCAATCAATTGTCTCAAATTTCACTGTTCCTCTAACAAATATCAGTCCATCCTCTCAGATTTTATTGTTCCTGCATTTTCATACAAACTGCTTTCCGTTCCCGTTATTTCCTTCTCGATCTTCTACTGAAATATATCCTAATTATGACAGTCGTTATATACTACTGACGTGTATATCAGTAGCGCATACCACAATATGAAAACAAGGGGAGAATAGTCTGAGTTTGAACAAAATAATTTATTTTTTAAAAAATTGATAAATAGCAATCAGGAAAGTGTTGAGACGCTTGATTTGCTTGGTGAAATACTTAAAGGTAATGAGGATAATACTTTTGAAAGAAGAGAGACTAACTGAAGGCAAAATGTGCAAAAATCCGTAAAAATTAATAGACAGTAGTAGTGAAAATACTTTCGAGTAATATAGTAAACTGGATGAAGTTAGAAATATGGATACCGATTCAGTAGTGTGAAGGTATAGTATTCTAATTGTCGTATGAATTAGGAATTCCAGGATTAACGCAATTGAATTAAGAAGACAAACCTCGTCACTAAACTAGTAAGTGACTAAGGGTATGAGAACCAACTATTTTGAAATTTTATTAACTACTGAGGATAACAAATCTACCAATTCCAAAAATAAATAGTTGTATCGATGCTGGTGATATTGTATCGAACAAGAAGACGAGTGAGGACAATCAAATGTATTTAAGCACGAAATTACAGAGCATCTCATTAAGATCTGAAAACAATACAGTAAATACTTAGTTTGCAAAATACCAATCAATTGTCTCAAATTTCACTGTTCCTCTAACAAATATCAGTCCATCCTCTCAGATTTTATTGTTCCTGCATTTTCATACAAACTGCTTTCCGTTCCCGTTATTTCC